GTCTCCAGCCATTATATATATATATATATATATATAGATAATATTTTGATTATTACATATCTAGTCTGTTCATGTTTATTGTTTGTTTTGGTTATCCAAGTTTGTCTGACTAAATATTTTTTATTTGATTACATTATTTCTTTTCTAATTATGCTTATTATCTGTTTTTTATACACACAATTTTGTTTGATTCCATTTATTCTTTTGATTATACTTTAATCATATAATTTATTTTTTAATTTTGTTACTTCAAGACTTTGTCAAACTCTGTAGTAATGTACGAGTTATAAATATGTATTTTAGGTGGTTTTTCTTGTTGCAAACAAGTGTTCTATCAGCAAGACCAACATTTAGTTTTATCATACACTTACATTGATAAAAGGCTTCAGAAACTCAGTAAAATTAGCAGTTTCAAATCCTGTAAAATATGCAAACATGATAGCCTCGACAACAGCAGAGTTGGGTACGAGGTCACTTGTAGACTGTAGAAAGCTGGGAACGAGGACATCACGAAGATAAGACGTGTTTTGGTGAAAGTTCCTCAAGTAGCTATTTTCTATCACTGTTATACACGGAGAAAAGTTTGTTAAACCTCAATGGATAGATAAGTATATACGCAGATAAAGTTGCAATTAATATTTGACTTTGTGATGAAGCTCGGTAATTCTTTAAAAGTTAAACAACAACAAAACAAGCTATAAAACAGTTTCTTCAAATGTTTACAATGCATAACTTTAAGTAAACGTCTTACAATATTATATATTAGTCATATTAAATCTCACATGGGGATAAGAAAGCTCCTTCGTCTTTGTTGACGCCAGTCAGTAAAGGAACTTTTAAGAATTTTCCTCTTTGTAGAAGATGAAGTGGTTCATCTGGAATCAAAGGATTGGCTGTTCCTTGCCTGTCAATAACGGGAACTGCTCGGATTGGAAAGTTTCCAAATCTCTGAAAATGAAATAGCATCAGGATAAAACTTGTGGGTGTAGATTTATTATTATGAAACACTGGTTCATTTGGCATGAAATTTCTAAAGCTGTGTTCATGTACCTTCGACAGAATCAAGACTCATTTTACTTTCAGTTTATGAGAAGTAGTCTGATATACGAAGCCATTGAAAGACCTACACTGAAGATGTAAGTTTCACTGTCATCTAATGAAGATTACTGGTTTTACTTTCAGATAATGAGGGGGTGCATGTTTTACTGTCAGTTAATGGGGTGCATATTTCACTGTCAAATAATGAGGAGATACAGGTTTCACTGTCAGTTAATGGGGTGCATATTTCACTGTCAGTTAATAAGGGGGTGCTTATTTCACTGTCAAATAATGAGGAGATACAGGTTTCACTGTCAGTTAATGAGGGGTGGTTGTTTCACTATTATCTAATGAAGAGATTAAGCTAGCATTATTAGCTGATGATGAGATAGAGTTTACTCTGTTTGTTAAAGAAGAGATAGGGTTTACACTCTGATGAGGAGATGCCGGTTTTATTATCAGTTGGAGGGGTGCAGGTTTCACTGTCAGTTAATGAGGGGGTAGATGTTTCACTATTATTTAATGAAGAGATCAATCTTGCATTATTAGCTGATGATGAGATAGAGTTTACTCTGTTTGTTAAAGCAGAGATAGGGTTGGCACTCTGATGAGGAGATGCAGGTTTCACTATCAGTTTGAGAAGGTGCAGGTTTTATCAGTAATTAATAAAGAGACAGCGTTTCCACTAAGAAGAAATGTCCTCTTTGACGTTTTTTTTGTTTTTTTTTGCTGTATTTAAATGAATGTTTTGTATTTTGGAAGGAATTCAAAGTGTGTTTTAAATATACTTTTAAAACAACTTAATACTAATCCTCAACAGTCCTCGAGATGTTCGTATTTCAATGCAGCTAGTATAAGTAGCTTGTTCTTAGAGGAAACATGACACGCACGTGTAAACACTGGTTATGTAATTCTAACACTTAACATAGATTTTATTCTATAAATGTTCATAGTTAAACTTATAATACTATCCTACTTTACAGAATATTATTACTATACAACTATGTCTTCAATTAAAACCGAATATACTTACACGCTCAGTGTTTTAAGGTGAAAAGTGATACATCGGGAAGTTTCTTTGTTATTTTTTTAGGTTTCGGTTTGACAAGGCCTTATGAAGTATACACCTGGAAAAAAGTTAAGCACCCCCGTGTTTTTTTCAAGTGATTCAGATTCGACGTTCTTGTGACTGATTATAAATTACCATTCAATCTAAACGTGTTCATCAAATGAAATTATGCATTATTGGGCACAAGAAAACAAGATTATCACCGTAAAATAACAATTTTCAATTTACATATCATGACATCAAAATATGGACAGTTTTCTACGCTAAAATTTAATCTTTAATTAAAGTATTGTCAGTG